CAGAGCAGAGCAGAGCAGAGCAGAGCAGAGCAGAGCAGAGCAGAACAAAAGAGAAGAGAGCGCGCGGAGGAAGTCAGTCAGAGAGCATAAAAAGTAAAGAATACAAAAGCAAAGCAAAGGAACTAGCAAAAATTAATACGAATCTAATTTTGGACGAAATTAAGCGAGAATAATTGTCATTCACATCAAATGCCATACAACATTGGTTGTCACTTGTTTAATGTAAACAGCTGCTTGAAGTAGATTCTCTCAAGTCATAATTCAAGGAAAAAGGAAGAGCAAGAGAGAGAGARAGATTTTTTATCGGCAAGGAATTATGTATATATTGTATTAACTTAAGGCCGAAAGCTAAGCAAGAGACGTTGAATTCGATATCCATAAAAAAGACTTCATTTGACTACTATTGATAGTTTAATGGAATAAACTTAGTTTGGGCTTTGTACGTCCTGGTTATTTGGCTTATTGTCAAATATGATATACTTTATGCTCAGTTTTATGATAGAAACAAAAATGTACGTCCAAAAAGTAATTCATTTATCGATATGTCATGCCTTAAAGCAGGTGTAATGCCAAGATAATTGATGTCTAGGCGTTATAAAATGGCAAAAAAAGCTGGCATTGTACGCTACTTGTGAACCACTGAAGTCGCTAATTCTCGCTTTATGAATATAGTTATCTTTGAAAATATGAAGAAAACTGTGACTTTTGTTCTGCTTCTAGCTGTAATTGTGTCATGTCTTGTGGTTGAAAACGTTGAAGGATTTCCAGATCCTTTCACACCTAATCAACCAAGACCAGGAAAAAAATCTTTTAGGAAAGAGGTAAGACTTTAAAAAATCATAAAAAGTAAGTAGCAAATATTTTCAATAGTAATACAACTAGATTCAAGTTCCAACCCCAGAGACTTTATCATGAAATGGTGTTCAACTTCAAAGCTTATTTTATGTCAAAAAGATTATTTTTGGGTCCGTAGCCTGCCCACACTGCAGATCATTAAGGCAGGACTACTGTTAGCTATGAGCTTATTTTTTAATGTATTATTGTCGTCTAGCAATTACAGTCAATGTCATTAACGTTGTCCACCGAAAAAAGACATTTACACATTTAGACATTTATAGACATTTAGACTAAAAGAAATATCACGTGTTTCCTTATGTATTCTTTGCCTCGTGTGCGTCAGCCTGAACTTTAAATGTAAAGTTCAACTCGTGAATCGAAAATCCAGAATGCCCTGACCATTTAGAGTGGATTTAAGATGGAGAATGGTATTCCAGCATTTGTTTTATGCCAGAACCATCGAGGAAACACGTGATATTTCTTTTAGTCTAAATGTGTGAATGTGTAAATGTGTAAATGTGCGAATGTCTTTTTTCGGTGGACAACGTTAATGACATGCATTGACTGTATGTTGTTGTTGAAGTGTTTATGTGATGTTTACCACTTCTTCCTTTACCATTAACACCGAATAAGTACATCAATATTGGTATCATTTAAAAGGACATGCTCTTTTAAAGCGAATAGATTATTCATAAAGTAAATATATGCTTTCATGTTAATTTTTTTTAACATAAATATTTTTTTGTTATTCGTAGAGAAGAGGAGATCTTTGCAATCGAGCAGGGCTCTCGTGTAAAGACGAACCAGACCAGAGAACCTGGGAAGACGACGATAAATAAGTCATCATCCAAACATCAAGACTCCCGGCTCTCCAGTGTGATAAATATTCAAAACTTGAAAATCGGAAATAAATACAGCAAATCAATTCCTAAAGTTTAAAATGTTTAAAATGATAAATAATCTCTGAAATAAAGGTCTGTTTTAGGCGACGAAACAGCCGTCATCTTGGAAATATGCAGATGACGTCCTCTAATACATCCCCACAATGCACTGCAAAACCAACTTGACGAAGTATTTTCCTCAGACTTATTTATCTTTCAGAATTTGTCTACAAGCTTTTTCAGTGTTTTAATGAAAACGTAACGTAAAACCTCTGTTAAACGACCAAATCTCAAAGTCCGAGAAAGGATTTTTCACTACAGTAATTTTGATTTTAGTGCAGTTTTCGTATGACTGTGACAAGTTCACGGCACGAACACGGTCGTGACACAGCAAGGGATACGCCAGACAAATCACATTGCACGAGAATTTACTCTCCATCCAATCAAATACCCGGAACACGGCATAAACACGGCGCGGACACGGTCACTTCAAGATCAAGGCACTTTTAGACCTTAGACTTTTAGAAATTCACGGTCACGCCACGTCACGCTTACGGCACTGAGCTTTTCACAGTCATACGAAAACTGCTCTATCAAGCGCCAACTCTATTATTCCCCGAGGATCGCTACTAAAGCCGAAGTTCGAATGTTTGGCTATAAAATGATTTTAGGGGAGATTTCTTTAATAGGGTATTTTTACTTTTATTCATTATAAAAATGTTCTTTTAAAGCAATTACACTCGAATTTGAAACAGTAGTAAGTTCAGATATTAGGCAGATTAAGATTCCAGTTTTTCCTTCCCGCAAACGGCAAACGTGACCACGTTTTTATCGTTTCCCTACATTTCACTTTACCTTTTGTAAACCTTCTCGACAAAGACAAGTATTCTTTTGTTTATCTACTACTTGGAGATTTTTGCGATTCCTTTTCACTAATTTTAAAGAAATTTTTAATGGTCAACTGACGTTTCACGTTTGCCGTAAACGAGAAACTTAAGCTCTCTAATAACCTGAAAAAAACTAGAAGTCTTCACGGTTCGAGTGTTCCTACGCATATCGGTAAATATATTCATTCGAAAAATATAATTTTCACGAGTCAATCGAAGTCAAAGCCAGAATCTTTTTTCAACCGTTATTCACAGAGAGGTGTTTCTCCTTGCTTTTCTCTGATTGGCTGATGCTCGTATATTTACTTTCAATAAGCCTTTTCATAGTTTAAGAATCGATTCCACTGCGCATGCGATTTTATCCCGAATTTCTCACCGTCCTTTGTCTAAATCTTCTTTTGTTCTTAAGGTGACTGCCTACT